GTAAGGATCAAGTACATTCCAACCAGACTTGCCTACTAAGTTGTGACGAGAGACTCCATTCAAAAACAATATTCCACTGTACTGCCTAATACTTTTCATTTGTTCCACTGTACTGCCTAATACTTTTCATTTGTTAAAGAGATTTAAAAAAAATTTTAATAACTTTTTAGCTGAGCACCAGTAGTCTGAGATTGGGAAGAGCATAGTTGGCAGGCTAGCCTTGGCAGAAAAACCCAAAAGGATCCAACCATACAGAGAGAAACCAGGTATGATCGTGCATGCCTATGATACAATCAAATCTAAAGTAAGCAGATTTCAGCAAAGACATGCCCCCCAGCAGGAATGAAAACACACCACAAAAGTAACTAGCAACAGGCAGGGCCAGAGGCTAGCTCAACTCGTGGAGCCTGAGGGCCTGAGCTCAAATCCCAGTAAAAACAACATTTTTAAATTTAAATAAAACTTTTCACAGTAACAGCAGAGATCTAAGTCACTTGCTCATGAGTTTAAATTCTCTCCAACACCTAAAGGACAAGAGTTTGGATTTAGGAAGAGAAATTTTAGTCATCAACTCTAAGATGCTTATATTTTTCATTAACATCTCTAAAATTAAGATGCACCTTACAACACATGACTCCTTATAGCTAGAAACTTTTTGTTTTGGTGGCAGTCCTGGGGCTTGAATTCAGGGTTGAGTACTTATTCCTGAGGTTTTTGGCTGGGACTCTACCAGTTGGGCCACAGCTTCACTTCTGGCTCTTATGTGGTTAATTGGAGATTAAGAATCTCTTGGACTTTCCCAGGTTGGTTTTGAACTGCAATTCTCAGCTCTCAGCCTCCTGAGTAGCTAGGATTACAGGCATGAGCCAACAGCACCTTGCTTAATCTTCTAAATTTTAAGAGTAGAACTGACCTTGTAAATACAAAGCTTGCAATATTAAAGAAGGCATTATAAAAACACAAGATCAGTAAAAGGAAAGTAAAGGGTTTCTACTTCTAAATTCAGACAAAAGCCATTTTCCTTTCTCTCCACAGCTTCCCTACTCCAAAGATCCAGAAGTCAGGTCAAAACAGTGCAACAGCACTGCTAGAATAGTTGCTTTTCTCATGTATATATTTTAATACGCAACAAAGTCAGCTGCAGACCTGACTTGGATCTAGTAGTGGAACTAATATTTGTATAAAAACTGCTATAAAAAAAAAACCAATTGACTCAGAGACTGCACACTTAACTTGCACCTATTATTGTACATAAATTATTCCTCAACAAAGTTGACTTTTCCAAAGGCAAATAAGTTTAATACTACGTTAAAAAGAAAACTATAGCTGGGTGCTGGTGGTTCACACCTGTAATACTAGCTACTCAGGAGGATGAGATCTGAGGATCAAGGTTTGAAGCCAGCTTGGGCAGCAAAGTCCATGAAACTCAAAACCTCCAGTTAGTATCCAAAAAAAGCCAGAAATGGAGCTGAGCCTCAAGTGGTAGAGTGCTAGCTTTGAACAACAATAACAAAAAAAAAAAAGCTCAGGAACAATGTTCAGGCCCTGAATTCAAGCCCCAGGAGCAGCACAAAAATAAGAGAAAACGAGAGATGGAGAGGGGGAAAAAACCCTAAAATTGTAGAAATTAAAGAAAAAAATCTGAAAATCAAACGCAAAATTGTAAGAAAATATAAGAAATAAATTTCTAGAAAAAAATATAACATTAAAATTCAGACCAAAAAACAGAAAACTTACAATAATTATTTTAGCAGTGACATTTTTGTCTATTTTTATTCAGAGAATTACCACATGTTTAGTAGCTTGTATTCCTCACTATACATTTGTCTAGGATTTGCTAAACCAATTCTCATTAGAAGCCAACTGGCTTTGCATTGCTCTTCCAATACCATTTTCTACTGCTAACTTACAATGTATATAAATTAATTGAAAATGGCATACATTTACATTGCCAGAGTGTTCATGGCACAGGAAGGAGGCCACAATACAGTAATTTATTAAATACATTGAAACGACATTAAAAATCCTCTCCAGAAAAATCTAGGCCTAAATGTTGTTATGAATAAAGCCTGCAAACCAATCTCAACTGCTTTTGAAAAGAAGAAAAGGAAAGTTGCCCAACTCATTTTATGATTCTGTTATAAACTGCTACCAACACAAATACTGTCCCAGAATCAGCAGGAATAAAGAAGAGTTACAATATTTTAAAGCAGAATCAACAGATGCTGGCTGCAGACAAGTCATGATGGAATGGGGAAAAGTTTGGGTTTGGTACAACATCAACAGAAATAGAAACACCAGAGAAGCCAATCTGGTAAGAAAGCGCTCAGTCAGAACTAGAAAAACCAAGTCGTTACCCAGAAAGCTACTGAAAAGTAAGACTCATATACAGAAAGAAAATAAAAAACAGAGACTTTAGAGAAATATTCAGAAAGAAAGATCTGATCAATAATCTCAAGGGCCTAGAGACATTTAAAAAAAAAGTAATCTGAAAAGTGAAACTTTAAAAACTTAAGGGGGAGGGGGAGATGGGAAGGGATAGGAAGGGGAAAGGAAGGAGGCAACAATGCTTGATAAGAAATGTACTCATTATCTTGCCCATGTAATTGTAACTCCTCTGTACAGTACTTTCACCATAAAAAAATCATAAAAATAAATAAATAAAAACAAAGCCATTAAAAAAAAAACTCTTAAGAGGGAAGAACAGAAGGCTGAAAAGGTTTGAAGAATAAACTTAACAAATCACAAAAGCTCCCATTTCCCCTAGTCTACGCTACTTGTCTTCCATATGTCTCCCAGATTAGACTTTAAGCTCCATGAAGGCAAGAACAATATCTGTAAAAGCATCCTTAGGCTTTGCACAGTGTGTTGGAATTCAGCAAGTATTCCTCAAATGAAACGTATACATAAATGAAAGCCAAGGAAAAGCACTTCAAGAATGTGAGGTCTGGCTAGGAATGCACTGTAGTACAGTGAGTGCTTAGTATGTACAAGGCTGGGTTCAATCTCAACCACCACCACCATCACTACCCTCCATACACAGAGGAAGAGTTCGGCAAGAGGAATGAAAACTGTTATATCACACAGTTCAATAAGAGGACTGAGAAAGGCTGTTAATTAGAATATATTTCCTTTATGAAGATGACTTCAATCAACAAATAAGAAGCCAATAGATGGCCACCTAGTTCAGAGAGGAAAAGTACTTTGACAGTCTGTACAGAAGGGATATGAATGAATTTTAATGTTTTTAATTTTATTTAATTTTTACTTATTTAATTTTTAATTTTATTTCAACTTTTCTACTTTGCAATTTTTCTTTATTGACCATGAATTACTTTTATAAGGAAATAAAAATTTTTTAAAATGTTAATATGATTTGAAAAGAAAAAGCAACACAACTTGAGAGAATAACAAAACTTAAGGTAAGGTTTTTTGTAAACTAAAAAAAATCTTAAGTATATTTGTAACTGACAGAAGCCAAAGAGAATAGAGAATAAGGCTCCACATAGTGAGGAAAGCGGAAAAAAAATGAAGCAAGGTGTTAAGTAATAAGTGGATCAAATATGTTATATATTGTATTTTTATATTTTCTATTATGTATGAATTGTGTCTCTTTCCCTGAAAGTAAAGAAGCAGATGGAAAAAGGAATTCAGTAAAAGAAACCCCCACTGGATACTTTAATATTTTCAATAAAGGGTGAGAGTTAAGTGAAGAAAGTTAAAAAGGTTTGAAATGGACTCCAGAGAGACTGTGAATAGGAAAAAATGTTGAGTAAAAAAAAAAAAAAAAAGTACTGGTTCTTTTAAAAATGCATTCCAAATTTCAATCAGCTTTTTATATTCTCAGCCTATTCTCTACTGCCCATACTGTAGCTTTAAACTTAAAACTCTAAATAATTCTGGTTCACCATCTGTTTTTATTTCAACTGAAAACAATGATAAGCATTAAGTTACCTTCTTTTAATTCAAAGTTAATCTCTTCTCACAAGTAAACACACCACGGAGTTTTCAAGCAATAGAATAGTTCAAGTTAGAATCACTGGAAATCACTCCTTTGCAGAGTTTTGCTTGTTTGAAAACACTCATGAATACGATGTTCTGGGTTCAAATCCCAGCTCACTGATCTATGTGATTTAACCTCTCTGGCATCTCGGTTTACTCTTCTTAAAACAACGAGGAATGCAAATAACCAGGATTGGTAAATGACGTGACACAGGTGTCAACTTCGTATTGAGGTACTCAGGACAGTTGGTTAACCCTTTAAAAAAAAAAAAGCAAGCAAACAAACAAAAAAACCTACCACACTTGAACCAGATTAAAACTCGAAATGGTGCAAATCACAGAACGCCAGACCCTAACACATAGCATATTATTTTTCTTTCCTGACGCAAGTGCATTTTTTTTTCTTGCCAAACCTTTCCACTAGGAGTCTGGAAAGGGGGCGGGGGGGGGAGGGAAGGGGGACATGCAACCGAGCACACAAAGTTTTCCGAAACTGAAGTGCAGAATCACAACAGACAGACATGGCAGCGGAGGCCGCGCCGGACAACAGGTGAGCCGACACTCGGGGACCTCGGGAGAAGCCCGGCACGGTCCCCGGGGCCAATCCGGAGGGCGGACCGGAGACAGCTCCGGCCCGACCACCGCACGCCGCACACTCCGATCCTTTTCCTTTCTTGCCAAAGCACCCCGAGACAAGTCCCGACTACCAGGCTCGCGGCTGTGGGGCGCCCTTCCCATGGCAGGATTCCAGAAGCGTCCATGGAGCGGCTTTCGCCCTCCACCGCCTTTCCCCAAACTCGGCCGAGCCCCACGAGCAGGCGAGGAAACAAAGAGGGGCCGAGCGGCGGGACCCGATCGACGCCGGGCACCGGGATCGCGCGGCCTCACGGGCCGGCCCGCTTTGCCCCCTTCTCGAAACTTCCCCGACCCGCTCCGGCCTGCCGCCCCGCCGCGGCCGACCTCGCCTCACGCACGCACTTTCCGACCGACCAACTCACCGGGAACCCGGAGAACTCATCCTCCAGCCCTCGGCACCGGACGGGCGGGCGCGGCGAGCCTCGGGGGCGCGGCGGGGGCCCCGGCTCGGCCTCCGCCCTCAGCGTGCAGTGGCCCGGTCGCCCCTCGCGAGGCCGTGCGATCCTCGTCTCGCGCGGCCCGACGCGCAGGAGCCGAAGCCTTCCTGCCAGCCCGTCCTCCTCCTCCTCCTCCCTCCTCTTCTTCTCCTCCTCCTCCTCCTCCTGCACTAGGCCGGCCGACGGGTTCCAATCTCGGCAGCCGTCGCCGCCTCAGCCGCCGCCGACGCTCGCACGCGGGGGAGGGGCCACGCGGG